TGTATGAAGGAAGATGCAAATAATGTTCAGTGATAGTCTCACTCCCACATAGAAAGGGCATGCTGAAGAGACCAGGGCAATCAAGTAATGCTGATTGACTTGCTGCGTGGAGAAAGGTTGGGACTTTGTAGCCAGTACACTGCAAGCCTGAGTGGATCATTAAGTTTTTCATTAGCAAGTGTTCAGAAGTTGTTCCATCGACAATCACAAAACCAGCGCCCCTTTGTGAGTGAGCTGAAAATTTGGAGAAGCAGAATTCAAACACACATGTGCACATCACCAACACTGCTTGGTGCACCTGGTTTGGCCTTCTTCTTGCCTTCCAGACGAGGGCATCTTAATGAGCTGCAAGAGTACAGTGCCTTCCTTGCACAAAAGCAAGGTAGGCTGCCAGCCCTTCACAATTTAATGGTTTACTTAATTCAGATAAAACTTTCTCTTTTACTCATTTGGCTTGAATTGCATAAATATTCTGGTAGAAGGATGGAGTGTTGTGGGCATTTATATGTTATAATGAATTTAATTCATATTTTCAATGTTCCATCTAGGGGACAAAATGCAAAAACAAAACAAAACAAAACCTCCTGAAGCCTCTTCAAAAGTGGTGCTATGGGAGAGAGAATGCATTGGACTGCAAGGTCAGTTTGAACCACAAGGTCAGTGATTCATGTTCACCAGCTGCTCCTTGGAAACCCTATACAGGGTGACTATGAGTTGAAACCGACTCAACAGCACATAACAACATTTTTATGTACCTTAGGGAGTGGGGATGTTTATTTTGTTTCATGGCACAGAAGAATGTTAAGAGGCAACATTCAGGCAATCAAGTTCTAAAGGTCCAACAATGGAGGAAAAGCTTTGATCGATCATAAATTGTAGCATCATCTCTTTGTTCTCTTAGCAGCTCTCACAGGCAAGCAGTCCTCCCAACTTATCAGAGGCCACGAGCTTCCCACCTCAGAGAATCCTGACAGCACGCAGGCATCAGGGCTAAAAGCACATGGAATGGGGACATTTTCTCAGGTTAGAGTTGTTATTTTTTTGTTCGGAGTCACAGCTTTCTAATTACCTTCACACACATATATCAACTGTGCACAGAGAAACCTCCAAACAGCTAAGACATGCTTTCTGGTCTGGATGCTTAGGAAGTTGGAGCCAGTTCTTTAGGTATTTTGGGCTTTAGCTTGTTTTGCCTGCTTCTCTCTGCTTAGGTATATTCATGCCCATGAAAATGGAGAGACGTCTACTACTAAGGAACCAAGAAAACAAGCCTGTTACTGGTACATCTCAGTGAATTCTTCAATAATGAAAGTGTGATGGGCATTGATTTCCCAATGTGCGGGCCCACATCTAACCCTTCTCAAACCAGAGGTCTGGAAGCAACTGTCTGTCTAGTATGTCAGCTCCGGCTTACTCTGTGTTTTCTTTTCCAATGTCAGCAGTATTGTAGAATAAGAATGCACTGACAGTGGGTGAGGTAGCCCATGTCATCAACCAGCGCCATTCATCTTGGGTGCAGGGTAGGACTGTAGCTCAATGGATGGCTGATTTTGTTTAGACCACTTTTGTTTTCCTAAAATCTGTCTTCCTTGTGGAATAAGTGGTGAAAGCTGGTGTCCTCCCAACTGTCTCTCTTTTACAGCGTGGGCCCAGAGCCTGCAGGATACCCCTTGAGCAGTTCTAGGAAGGCTATGAGGTTGCAAGGAGAGACAGTACCATCTTCCATGAGAGTGTGCTGTGCCCACACCTTCTCACATGGGTGCTGTCTCTTGTCTTAAGAAAAGCACACTCAACTCCAAGTCTCTCCCACGAGTCTCCATATCCAGAACAAGTTTGCCTTTTAGTTTTCCGACCATAATGTTATCACAGGATTGACAGAATGGACGTTTCATGCCACTAGCAACGGCAGCCACCATATCATTTTCATCTGCTTGGAAAGGAGGAGAACTGACCTCACCATTTTCAAAGGGCTTTTGGCAGTCTTGGTTAATGATCCATTTTTATACTATCAGACAAAAAAAACAACAAGGATCTCTTTCTTTCCTTTTTAATTAAACGTTGACTTTTAAAACATAGTGTCTGCTATAAAAAACCCTCACCTTTACAAGAGCTGAGCTGGCAATGAACGAAAACCACCGTGACCTTTGAAGCCCATGACCCGGTTACTCTGATGTAGCACTGAACTCCAGTTACTGATTAGAAACTCCAGAAGAGGCCTCACCCCAGCCTTCCTGTCTTGTATGTATCTAAGCCAGTACTCACCTAATGGCAACTTCCAGACAAGAGGGCACATGGGCAGTTGGCTTTAAGGACCAGCAGCTCACTGTACTCACTTCCTAGAGGGACATCTGGACCCCTTGCCCAGACTTGCTTCTCCAGAGCTCACTAAGGGCTTGCAGAAGCCAACCCACAGCTGTCAGACCTACCTGACACCCACATCCCCTCTGTGACAGCTCCTTCCAGAACCAGTTCATTCAGAAATGAATTGAGACAGTGGATTTAGTGCTTGCTCAAAAATCTCCCAACGCCTACACTTAGCTGCTTAGATTTTGCTGTGGTTGCAATATTTCTGAATAAATTTTAAAAAGCTAAGTTTCCCTGAGTGCCTTTCAGGAACTAGGAGCTTTTTATTAAAAGAGTGTGTGCAGCTTCCTGAGCATTCTTTTCTTCGGAGTCTCACTGGGTAACATGTCATTCAACTATTCTCTGAGCTTACTGGGAGGAAAGAACCAAGCCTGTGCTGAAGCGAAGCTAAGGAGCACAGACCCGCTTCCTTGAGCAGAGGCCAGCTTGCTGCTAACGTAGCCTCCCTTGACTTCTATTTCCAGCTCACACCATCAGGGGGTTTTCCAGTGGGGGGGTGGTCTCCCCTTGGCTCCATGCTCCACAGTAGGGTCACTCTGGCACTTTGCCAATCTTTTCCAAACACAGAAATGCACATTGAAAGTAGCTCAGTGCCAAAGAACAGAGCTGGCTGGAACGCAGGGTTTAACATCCCAACAGCTGCCTGTAAGATGTGTCTATGACTTGGAACCGAGGACTGTGCTAGCCTTTCACAACTGCAGCTACTGACTGGGGTTCCCCAACCAGTCTTCAACTGTCAGCCAGCTACCAGTCTGACTGGCAGAAAAGGAGCAGGCAATAACCTCAACTCTTCTTTCTCCCAGAAGCAAATGTGGAAATGCTTTTAGGTTTTTGTTTTCCCTTGAAAGCAGTCTGCATATAGGCCTGGTGAGGTTGTGGTACACTTTTCTGGACTCCTAATGGCCAGTCGCTTCTTGGAAACCCTATACTGGGTCACTGTGAGTTGGCAGGGACTCAAAGGCACTGAACTACAACAACAAATAGTAAGGTGAGGAGCCCTGGGGGTGTGCTGTAGGGTAAGCACTGGACTGCTAACTGCAAGGTCAGCAGTTCAGATCTACCAGCTGCTCCAAGAGAATAAGATGCGGCTTTCTGCTCCTGTAAAGATTTACAGTCTCTTGCAAACCTTAAGGAGCTCTGAGCCAGGGTTGACTTGATGGCAGCAGGCTTGGTTTTTATGGTAAGGTGGTTTTCTAGCTTGTTTTTCAGGGCCCATCTGCAGACTTCCACCATGCTTGGCTGAGCAAACATCCTCTTTGCATAGGATAATCATCAAACACAAAAAGTCATAAATATCATTTCAAAAAGACACAGAAGTTGCATGCTCTAACAGAGGAAGAATGTTAGCCTCTGGGAGTCACCAACAGACATTAACAAGAGCAAAACTAGACTAAGGTCAGTGTGGTTAGGGCCCAGACAGCGTCATCTACTTCAGCCACTAGGGGTCAAAGAAGGTACCAGAACTAAATTAAGAACTAGGACTAGCAGATGTTAACACTATGGAAACAGGCAACGAGGTAGAATAGGCACTTACGTGGAGGGCTGTCTGCATTTCCCATGGATGGAACACAGACGAAAAGAAAAGACAAGAGACAGACCCAAGAGAAAAAAATAAGATGTAAAAGAAATGAACAGAATCTGCAGAGCACATGGAGCTGAAAATGCAAATTATCAAATTATGTCAAATCTAGGAACAAGCAAATTCTGTAGAATGAAGAGGAGGCAGGCTTCCAATTTCTGGGAAGAGATATGGGGTCACTTTGAAGGTCCCTAGCTCCAAAGAAAAGGAAGCCAAGGATCCCCCTGGGTATTTTCAAATTCTAGGGGCCAGAGAGTGCCCAGGGAACTGAGACCGGCCTAGTCTAGAAGTTCCAACACCTATTTTCACAGGAGGGATGCGGGAGCCTCCCAGGACTGCAACTCAGGTTTGCAGAGGGATGTACCTATAGCCGGGCTTGCCCATAATCTGGCTATTTGTGAGAAGGCAGGGTATGGCATGGTGGGCCGTGTTTAAGGAAAGAGGGGAAACAAAGAGAAGCAGCTCTGAATGGAATCAGGACGAAGTGGCCCCCTTGGCAGAGGTTGCACTTGAAGGTTATCTCCTATGTGCTCCTGGTGTATGCTGGGGAAAAGCCAATGCCGACCTTCTAGTTTTTCTGTTGCTGTGTTTTCGTTACAGCAGTCTCTGTGTTTCTGTCACTTGGTATCTGTGCTGCATCAAAGGCCCCACAACTAATTATGTGATTGTCACTGTCCTTATCCTCTTTCTTCAAGCCACAGGACACCTAGGACCTTGGTGACTGTGTCAAACAGTAAGCCTCCAAATCCCTCCACAACCTGCTGCTGCTTTCCTTCATAATGTGTCGCTGGCTTTTCTCCCTGGCTATTCACCTTATGACTTGTACCAGCTACTAGGACACTGTCACTAACCCCTTAGAGACACAGAGGATAAAGGGTTTGGGCATCAGCAGCCACTGAGCACCAGAGAGCTACGATGTGCGATCACTGTGAGCTGGGAGATCTGAAATAGAAAACGCTGTCATCTGAACAGTGAGTCAAGTCAGCCTGGGGTCCCCCACCTCCGAGGGAGGAAAGAGTGGGTTTGGGGAGGAGGCAGGGCAGCCGGCTCTACTTACGGACTGGCTGCGTCTTGAACTCGGAGGCTGCGCTGATCTCACCCAGCCCCTTGCCATTGAGGGCTGCCAACCGTACGGCGTACGTCGTCTCTGGCTTCAGACCCATGATGGTGACGATGCCCTCCATGTTGGCTGTTGTGGGAACATGGGAAAGGGTTACAAAGGAATGAAAAGCTGAGTGGACAGACTGGAACATGGAATCGACTTGCTTATATAAGTTGGAATGAGATTTCAGAGAGAAGTCAGACAGGCAAATGAATTGTTTTCTTCTAGTTCTAACCTAATGCCCTCCAGCCCCCCTGCCTCCAGAAGCTGAAGGAGTGGTAGTTGCTTTCTGGAGGGACTGTCTTTGAGTGACATTGACGTCCCAATCCACCTCCAATTCCACACTAGTTACCACCTATCAATCAGGATTCAAAATTCCTCCAGAAACAAACCATAGACTCCAGTCAATTACTTCAATGAAACCCCAAACCAGTTTCTGCTGAGTTGATAGACTCATGGTGAGCCCATGTGTATCACAGTGGAATTGTGTTCCATAGAGGTTTTTAAAGGCTGATTTTTTGGGAAGTAAATCACCAGGCTTTTCTTCTGAGGCACCTCTGGGTGGACTTGAACCTTCAACCTTTAAGTTGCATCACTCAGGGATATGAAACCCCAAAGTGGGGAACCCCAAACATAAATATGCTCAATCTTTGGGGAAAGGTAGTCTGACTCATAAACTTTAAATTGCATTGATCCAAGAGGTTTGGTTTTTTGACCCTTATTAATCTGAGTGTGGAAATACAGAGTTGATTTAAGAGCAGATTAAAGTGGGACTGCCTGGGTGGTGGTGGAGAAACTGTTTCTCGGGCAATCCAAATCTGCAGAACAGGAGGTAGACTGAATGCATCTGGTTGTGCTCAGTAGCTAAACAGGCCTGGAACACGGCTTAGATGGCTTTTTCTGGTTCTGGCAGAGACACAAGACCCACCAGGGGGCAGAAGCCCCACTCTACATAGAGATGTGGCTCTGACCTATTTCTACAGGGATAGTAACTGTGTTCCAGGTGGTGTGGTGACCCCAGGCATCCTCCAGTACGTGAGAGTGGTGTGTGTGTGCCACTCTACCCACACAGGCAGCCAGGATCTGGTGCATGCTAAGGGTGAGTTTACCCCTACACTGGTGAATGAGGCAGTCATGATTCTAAAGGATCCAGTGCCCCTTTCCGACTTACCTTCTTTGGCATCATACCACTTGGAATGCCAAGCTTCCTCACCCACTGCTCGCCACTCAGCCTTGTACTTGAGAATGGGCACTCCACCTGTGGCCTCCGGCTCATCAAACTGCACCTGGGCTGTGCTAGAGTATGGCTCCACCTGGTCGATGGATGGTGAGGATGGGGTGTCTGTGGGGAAGGCAGATATGGAGACCCACATGAGCCCCATTTGGCCTAACACCAAAACTCCCAACTGCGAAGCATATCTGTCTCATTGCTGTTCACTTTTGAGAATCCTGTATCCTGTCCTCCTAACCCATTGTGCTATGTGATTCTCTCCCAACCTGCCCCATATCCAGATCCCAGGGCCTCTAATGGCTCCCCACAGTTCTAACGTCACCAAACCCTGAATAGTGGGCTGGCTAGGTGTGGCAGTCGCTCTAAGGGGTGCTTACCTGCTTGAACAAGGATGAATTCCAAGGACTCCTGCCCAATGCGGTTCACTGCAGTGCAGTTGTAGTTTCCAAAGTCATTTTCAGAGTCTGGGGTCACCTTTAGAAGGAGGAGCTCTTGGGTAAGAAGTGTCCCCTGGGATGGCCATGCACGCAGATCCTTATCTATGTTAACTTAGTAAAGAGTAAGGAGCTCTGGTAGCGCAGTGGTTACAAATCTGGCTGCTAATGTCACGGTCAGCAGTTCGAAACTACCAGCTGTTCCGCGGGAGAAAGATGAGGCTTTCTGTTCCCGTGAAGATTCCAGCCTCGGAAACCCTGTGCAGGGTCGCTACGAGTCGGAACTGACTCCATGGCATATAACAACAACAACAGTAAAGAGTAAACAGTTACTGTCAGGTCAATTTCTCATCATGGCAGCCCCACGTCTGTCAGAGTAGAACTGTGATCTATAGCGTTTTTAATGTCTGGATTTTCAGAAATAGATCGCCAGACCTTTCTTTTGAGACATCTCTGGGTGAATTCAAACATCCAACCTTTCAGTTAGTAACACTGTGCCTCTTAGAGGCTGAACTAGTAAAGCATGCATCTTAGATTCCAGCCCAGATTTATACAGGACGGGAGACTAGAACAGGGGCTCATAGATCCAGCCCCAAGGAGTCAATCAGTGCAGCAGAGAAAGGCCGCCCGGGATGAGTCTCAGGCTCTTCTTTAGCCATGGCTCCCCAGAATGTGCCGGACAAACAATGGCTGTACACAGGAGCCCACCTATAGTGCAAGTACACCTTCTCCACCTGCCCTACCCGCCCCACCACTCACCTCTAGATAGCTGGCAGAGGGCGTGTTGTAGATCTTGATATTGCTGTAGTTGGAGCTCGGTAGCAGCTGACCATCTCGGAACCATGAGATCGTGGCACTGGGATAGGCGAATACCTCACAGGTGATGTTTACCTGGTTCCCCTCCCATGTGTACACAGCCACAGGGCCCTGTAGCTTGGGGGCATCTGCAATGAGTGAAAATGACTCTCAGGGTGACCACCAAGGTCGTGGAGCCCCACATATCCTGTTTCCTGTGTCGCAAAGCAGAGTCTGTGCCTCATCACAGCTAGAGGTGAGCACTGTTACAGTGTTCCTCCGCACAGGGACTGCGTGGGGAGATGCGGGGCCAGGCAGGCTTGGGAAGAGCATGGGGAAGATGCGAGGGTGGGTTTGGGGACAAGACCTAGGGCCAGTCACCCCGGGGCCTTGACCAGAGCTCAGAGTGCAGGGTGCTAGCTGCTCCTTTTCACGCTCACCTAGATCCTGCATTACCCTCCCTTCCCTGAGTTTTCCCCCCGGTTACTTCTCACATTGCACTTCAAGATACATGGATTGAGAATCCTGCCCGATGGTGTTGCTGGCGGTGCAGATGTACTCTCCAGCGTCTGTGTACTGGATGCTTTTCAGAGTCAGGGAAGACACGCGGGCATGGCTGCGTACCACCATGTGCCCATCCAGGGTCTGCCAGGAGGGAAGGGGAACTCGTCAGAGCCTGAGGCACAGAGGATGGCGACAGTGACTAAGGGAGGGGTGGGGCTGTTTGTTCAGTCTCACGTCCTCTCTCCTCTCGGTACCAACATCTAAATCTTTAGGTACTACTTAATGAGGGCATCTCTGGGGATCACCATGGAAACTCTGAATATGTCAAGCAGCCTAACTAATGTGCCAAGGTTGGCTGGGGGCAAGGATGGACAAAGTCCCCAAGACAACTCTGTTTGGGTGTCCTAAAATGGCAGCAGAAGCCCCAGGCAACATATATTCCAGCAGCAGCAGCAGCGGTGGCGGCAGCCTTCCCTCATGAGATTCTGAGAAACCTGCATTTCCCATTCTTTCTTTCCAACAGCCTGTCCATCTGCCCATTCTGCAATGCATGCACATGTAATGGGAAACTTGAATGTGCTCAAATGTAAGACATTATGCAAGAAATCCCTATTTCTGCAGATGCCTCTCCTTCCTGCATTCATAAAAGGTAAATGATTCCATTCAAAAGAGTCAAGCAACTCAGCTTAGGGATTGTTGGGCTGGGAGTGAGGATAACTGGGTCCCTTCCCCAAGAACAGACAGACAGAGCGTCCCATACCGATGTGGGGTTCTTGACACCATAGTCAGCACCATTAGCTAGTCATCGATCCTAAAATTGGCTTCCCAAGTCTCTGGAATTACAAAAGGACCTCTGAGCGATGGACACATGGAATATTTCCATGTGTGTTTTTTAACTCCCTTGACACTATGTAAAGTGTCTTGAGAATCAGGAAAAGTCTGGACGTGTGGCCTAAGTCCAGTTAATAAAAGGTGGTAATATGAAGGGTTCTGCTCCTTGTGGGCTGGCCACCCTCTAATCTCTAGCGTACATTATTCTGTAGCGATAGCAGGAGGGTGCTCGGGATACAGCATCTGCCACCTCACAGGATTGAGCCTTTCATGAGTAAAAGAATACTTGACTTGGGGTTCTTTTGATGAACCAGAAGTTCAACGCCATATAGCAGCCAGTGTGGGAAGCTCAAAAGCAAAGCACCGTTGACTTTTCATCGCAGTATCAACAGACCTATTGCAAGATGTCCTTTCTTACTGTGACTGACGGATAGGATACAGTTCACTTAAACCTCATCCCATTTCACATCTGGAAGCGGGAACCCAGTCACTTGAAAGAAGACAAAAGCCAAGCCAAGCCATTAGCATCAACTGTTGCCACTGCCTCTCCTCTCTGAGAAGGATGCCCTAATGCCTGTGGCTTTCAGCTCCCAACAGGCAATGAGAGGCTGGTGGTTGCAAAGATGCATGCCATGAAAAGCCACATCTCAACAAGAGATGACAACAGATCGTCTCTTGTGGGACACTTCGTTAGAAAATCTTGAGACATCCAGTGTGTTGAAGACACTAGATTCATTCCAGGACTCCTTTTCTTGTGAGCGGGCAGGGCTCTTTTGATAGATCCCAGTGGTGATTTTCATTGTCATGCAAAATCTTGACCATCAATCTACCAACAGTGTGAAGGCATTGCAGGTATGTTTAATGAGCTGACCTGACCAGCTGTCATGCCTAGTTGCTTAAAGGAATAAAGGCAGAGAGGATTTCAAGATCCCTGTGGCCTTTCTGGTCATCTTGGTGAAAACACTTGGTGATACCAACCAGTGACTGAACTACGATTCTTTGTGACACGGGTGGGACTTGTCTGGGGGTTGCCATATGCAAACATAAAAAACTGACCAGAATCTTTAGGAAGTCAAGAGAACATTTCCTTAAGGAAAGGACATTGAAGCAAAAAAAAAGTCCCTTAGGCTGAGTAGAGCCTGAGCGAACAAGAACAAAGCTGGAGATGAAGCAGTCTTAATTAAGATAATCTAGAAAGAAAGTGGTTCAAGGGCGCTCAGGTAATGGTTGCATGAGAGCTATACATTCTTTTTTCTACCTCATCTTTTCTTCTCCAAAATGTCTCTACATGGGCATGTCTCGCATTTAATGGTGTCAACAGACCAATAGACAGAGTCCTCTAGAGAACTCTGATTTTGCAGGCTCACAAAGGGACTGACAATGGGATTATCTGCTAGATGCCTTCAGTTCTCCCTCCAAGGGATGCAGATAAACTCCAGTGCAGCTGGAGTGTTTCCATCTGAGATGTTTCACTTTGGCACCAAGACAATGTCAGGGAGAGCCCCTACACATCTCCAAGACCACAATTCACACTGATGGTCCAGCCTATGGCAGAGGGAACAGATGTGCTCTAGGCAAGAATGAAAAGATGATGGCAAGATCCTATTTTTCTCAGAAGTATGAAGGGTAATTATAATTCTTCTTGTTGTTCAAACGTTTTGTCTCCCTTATTCCAGGTAAAAGAACTAAGGCTTTGGAGGGCTTACAGAGTGGAATTGGCTATAACCCAAGCCTTTTTGGGAACTTATCTGAATGAGACAAAATAGGAGGGAAAGGGACTTCTGAGTCCCAGGGGAGTTGCCTACTTGAAACTCAACTAGGTCCAGAGTAAAATTCTTAGGATCCTTCTGGAAAATGGAGTGAGGTATCTGTTCTTTTGGAAGTACACATATTACTTTTACTTATACTAATTCTCTTCACATGATCCCTGATAAATCTCTGCTCCTCCTCTACCCAGGTCTAACTCAGAATGACAAGGGAAGATGTACAGGACCAAACAAAATGAGATCTGTAGCTACTCAAGAGTAGCTGATAATGAACTCTTCTCCTCTCTCTTCCCCAATGCCAATGGGTCTATGACTTTCACGCAATAAAACATCCAGTCTCTGACAGCAAGAGGTGATTCTTGTACCATAGGAGGGAAGTGTTTGAGACAGGATGTGCACCCAATGGTAATGCCTATGACATCAAGGAAGGTATGATACAAAGGAAGCTTATAATGAAGTCAATTCGACGATGGCAGCGTGTTCATGTGCAGAAACAAATGTCAGTGCCTGGGGACAGGCAGTCAACTCTTAAATATTAAACAGCATTAAATATTTATACCTATGACCTGAACACATGAGTTATGTGTTCTGAATAATAATCTATCTTGAAAGACTCTTAAGGCTAAAGCTACCTATTTAAAATACAGAATTTACAGGGTCTCCACAGTCTGCATTTAAGGTCCTATAATATCAAAAGTTCCATCTGGAAAAATGGACAAGGGCTACTCTTTCAAACCGTATTCACAGATTCGATCCTTGCTTCTAATTTAAAGAACACTGGCTTTCATTTCATTCTATGTCACTTAATTGCATAAATCAGGGGAAAATATGCCAGGCATGATCAGAAGCGGGTCCTTGGGGCGTAGCGATTAAAACCTGAAGATGAATATTTAGCATCCATTTTCAAACTAAGTCCCATGTCACCCAAACAGAAGCAAGTCGTAAGAGAAATTTCAGAGGGTTTTTCTGACTTTGAAAACATGTAAAATCATTTGTGACCAATCATTCTAACCTCATAAATTTATTGCTGTCTAAAAGTTAACATAGATGTGTTTAGCAATTTGGGAAAACCCATGAGAGATGTCATTTGCATTGCTTTGGAGATGAAATGCGATGTAATCCTTTACCAAGACCAATCATTATAAAACAGGCGAGCAACAAGATGAGTTGAGCTGGAAAAAAAAGGGCTGAGTGGGCTTTTAGTTCAGTGATTCTGTGACTTTATAATCCAAAGCCACATCAAATAGGTGATAGTAAGAAAAGAAAAAAAAAAAAAAAAAGAAAAAAATTTCATTATTTCCAAACGCCTGGCCTGGGAGTTGGGGCAATTGATTTTTATAAGGATAATTACCTGGGTATGATTTTACCAGCACCAGCAACAGAATAAGATCCAGTTTTAGGAAATAATAAGGATTTGTTCATCCATTCCCAACACAGCTTGCTTGCTCATCCTAAAATGGCACTATTGCTAAGTAATGGCTACCACTATTGACCTATTCTTTAATCCAACTAAATGACTAATTAGTTTAGCATGTCTGGTTATTCAACTGTAATGGCGAGTTAAACTGTAGTGTTTTCAAAACTAAAAACTGGCTAGTGGTCAGGTAAGCTATACCTCTTGCTTCTCTGGTCGAGTCCACGAAGCCTGGAGAGAACAAGATATAAAACACAACAAGAAAGCAGTCAAAGTTTACAACATGTCGCTTTAGAGAACTGAAGTATCACAGTGCATCCTGGGCACATGCAGTTTCTTTTGAATTCAGAACTTTTTCCAAGGCCCACTTTCAATGGTGTGTTTATTACCCAATATCATTTAAGATTCAGTTCTATGTCCAGCTTTTCGCTTTGTTTTTGTTTTCTTTTTCCTTATGCACATTAAGATGTATAATGCCAAGGTAGAGACTTCCTGATCTTTGGTAGACATATATGGAGGGTGCTGGGAGGAAGTCTTAGCAGACAGAGTAAATTACTTCTGTTGCAAAATGTGTTAAATATTCCTCATGAGTTGGGTGGCACTACTTTTTCTCACCCCATAATCTAGAGATACTTAGGTTTCTTCCTTTGGACTTTATTAGACAGCTTATCACAGATATACTAATGCCATTTGATTTGCTCATGCATTTGCTCACTTTTTGCATGCATGCATTCTGTTAAAAATCAGCTAAATTTTTTTGAAAATAAAAGGAAGCGAGGAGCAGAGAGGCATATTAAGAATGAGAAGAACACACTGTTGAGACTATGGGTGAAGGAGTGTTGGGGATACCAATGCTGAGCAGTTCTGAAAGGCAGAGGGCCGCTCAGATGGCATGCAGAGTCTTTTGGGTATCATCTTCATCAAACATGGCATTCACAAAGGAGGGAGCCAACACAAAAGCATAAAAGATTCAGGGCATTTTCCTACCCACCTCCATAACTGTTAGTTATCTGAAAGTTGGGAATTTACTTTGTTTAGAGTTTTCCTGTTTTCATGCTGGGAGTTGAAAACATCATACCACATGGTTGTTTATGTGAGGAGGCAAGACGGCCGGATTGTCCCTGATATTCAGATGAAAAAGGGACAAAAAAGATGCAGGGAACACAGCAATGCAATCATGGGAATGTTAATGAGTTGGTCAACATTTAATGAATGCAAGGCACTTTTGTGTGAGATGAGGGTGAAATGCTGTGTTATGTCACATGACATTGGGATAACGAAGACAATGAGAAAAGAAAAACATGCAAAGGCCAAAGTAACACTGGGCCAACATGTCAAATGTGACTGCCAACTTCACATCACTTAGAAGCTTGTCTGTCACATGCCAGGGCTGCATTTAATAAGACCTTTTCTCGAGGGTCTTTAGCATAGGCAGTTGTTTGTTTTCAAGTCTGATATTCCTTCTGTAAATCCCAATGCTTTTTGCCCTCTGATTTTGTGGCTTTTAGAATCGATGGTTCCTAGTATTCACAATGCTTCTAACAGCTCCACTCGCTACCTATATCTGAACCTGAAAATTTGGTGAAGGTGTGGCCACTTGAACCTGACATTGTTGTTGTTGAGTGCCCTCAAGTCTGTTCTGACTTGTAGCGACCCTGTATAGGGTTTCCAAGGAGCAGCTGGTGAGTTTGAACCGCCGACCTTGTGGTCCAGTGCATTATCCCACAGTGCCACACCTGTGATTAGTAATACTCCAAAAGGAATCAGTTCTAGGTTCTTTGGATGTTAACATATGTTAGTGTCTTACCCATAAGTTTGTAAGAACACGTCTATAAACTTGAGTATCCTTATATTTATCCTAAACATTCCTAGCTCACTCCCTGTGGCTAAAACTGACTCTGATTCTTTAACACTATCAGTTTTCCCAATGTTTAAAAAAACAGGGTATGGAGTTTGTCTTGAACTAAGATCTTTTCCTGGTGAATAGGAAGCTCTAGTTCCTAGAAAATCTAGAATTTAAGGATGTATTATTTATAGAATCTCTGGTCAAGCCAAGTTCAAAGTTCTTGAAATGTTTTTCATTGTCTTGTCTGGCTCTTTTGATCTCAGCATTGCCCTTCTCCATTTCCTTAATCGTGAAAGCTTTTCTTGATCAGCCATTTCAAAGGTGCTGAGATGGTCAAGTAAGCACACAGTGGTTTTGTTTGTCCAAGGCCACAGTGCACAGACCGCCAGGAGTCTTTGATCTGTGAGTTTCACTCACTGAAAGTGTAAATGCTACATGGAACTTACCACCACTCACTCAAATACCTGGCAACATTTAAAATGAATCTGGGGATGATGAACAGTGACAAAGATGTGGATGTACAAACTTTCTGCTAATCTACAGTATCATTGTGATATCCACGTACAGGATCAAACCGACTCGGTATGATGGACAAATATTTTTTTGTCAACAAAATAGTGACTATAGCTTCATGAAACATTTTTCAGACAACTGATCTACCCTAATGATCTCAAGGATACAGATGATCTGACTTAAGTCTGTTGTTGTTGTTGTTGTCAAGTGTCCTCAAGTTGGTTCCGACTTATAGCAACCTTGTATAGGGTTTCTGAGAAGCAGCTGGTGAGTTAGAACCACTGTGATCCAAATGACCTTGTTTGTGGTCCAGTGGCTTATTCTACAGTGCCACACCAGACCTTGTCTCATTGTTATCATTTAAGCTAACTCAGCTCAACTAGCGGAAGCTGACTGAACAAACTGATAACAATCTCAAACAAGTGACTGGACTCAACTCAGACACATGATCAAAGATAGGGTGCTACATTCAGGCTCATCGTACCGTTTTTGTTTGTTTGTTTGTTTGTTTGCTTCTATTTTTCTTTCATTCGTTTTTATTTGTAATGAAGAAGAATATCTGGTATTCCATTAGGAAGTCACTAAGTATGTGTCTATGGCTGAGAGCCTTTTCTCCTTTCTTCTTTTAAGCATAGTAATACTAGACCCAACTAAGCCATGAAACAAAAGACAGTGTGGGCTTAATTAGCTTTTATTATAACTAACTTTATTAAAGGAATCATTGAGCCTTCCACAAAGTCATCAAATCATTAGGAGCACCAAGGCAATAGATACTCCGTCACTGACTAGAGAGACACCCTGTGCCATTCTACGAGCTCTGGACTTGACCTTGGCCCAATCAACAGTTTAATCAATGACCTTGACAAATATATTTCAAGCAATTTTTCATACAAGGTTGGAAGCAACAGCTAATGCAAACGTTGGATGACAAATAACAATGGGCTACCTGGTGGCTAACTTTAGATTTTCTTCTTGCTGCTAGGATTGCCATGGACTGTTCAATATACATGAAAACAGAGGGGCCCACATGACTTGAAATGTCCTAGACAAAGACTTCTAATAGACAAAGGACAGTTCTGATGAAAGCCAATCCTAACTGGTTAGAAAGATGGTTGAAAACAGTGGTTCTCAACCCAGGGGCTGTTTGTAAATGTGTTTTTTTTGTTGTTGTTGTTGTAATCACAATGATTGGACGTGGCTACTGGCATTTAATGGGAAGGGAGCCAGTTGATGCTAAATATCTTGCAATGCATAGGACATTCCCACACAAGGAAGATTCATCCCAAATCATAATATGATGAATTGAGTGACACTGGACTGCAACAACCAAGAAGACATTTTTAACAAAAATAAATTTAAAATTCATAATTACTGGTGATGATATCAATTGCATAGAATAGGCTAGGACTAGATGGCTTAAATACAGTTCCTGTAAAGAAAGAGCTGATCAGCTTAATTGGCCATAAGTTCAACATGAGGCAACAGACTAGGGAGCCTGCTAAAGGGCTAATGCAACTTTTACCCAGTATAGTGTCCAGATCAAGGGAGACAATAACCCCATTGACAATGACCAATGCATGGTGTTGGCTAGACTGTGTCTGGACTTCTGGGCACCACAAAAGTTTAGGGTAACACTAATGAACTGGAGTTGTCTAGTCGGAACCACAAACATGTAGGAAACAGCGAAAGGAACTGGGTATGTTAAAGGGAAAAGAGTAGAGAATCTAAATAGTTACTTTCAGATGTCTTAGGTCTCATAGAAAAGGCTGAAGGGCAAAGGTGGGAAGGGCTGAGAAAGGCAAGGGGCAAGGAAGGAGACATTTATGACCCTTCCTGTTAGCCGACTGCTCTGTGAAGGACGAACACTATCAAACTCAGGCAGGGACTGACTGGCCTTTTGGTAGGGATTCTTGAAACAGGTTCCAGGTAAGATGAAGAGAACATCCTAGGTGCCTTCCAACCTTTTATGATTCCAGAATTTCATGTGATCCAATTCTCCGGAAGCTTCTTTATCTTACAGATTAGATAAAATGGTGTCTTCTCATTTGCTTAGTGTATCATTGTGATTTTAAAAAGAAGTATTTTTTTCTACTCTCACAATTTAGTTACCTTAGTAACCTTGGTGCCTAATTATATATAATGCTGATGGCTCAAACATGAGGAAAAGCTGCCAACGTAAAAGTGAATTTTTTTATTTGGAGTCCAATTTGCTCACTGATGGACCATATTGTTATTAGCGATCCACGGTATAAAAAAGCTATCCTGCTTCTGATGTTGTTGTTACTAAGTGTTGTCGAGTCAGTTCTGATTCATAGCGTCTTTGAATAAGACTTCCAGGAAGTGGCTAGTGAGTTTGAACCACCGACCCTGTGGTTCAAACTAACCTTGTGGTCCAGTGCTTTATTCCACAGCGTCACCACAGGGCATCAATGTCTAGTTAATAGGAATGGTAGCTTTCCTTATACAGGGTTTCATTTAGGCAAATAAGTTAGCAATCTGACGGAACACTACTGGTTGACTTGGAGGACTTGTTCTAACACCAATTCAGTCATGTTCCAGAAATGTCACTTAAAGTGAATTTAAAGACAGTTGTTAGTCAAAAGAAGCCACGACACAATCAATGGAGCTGGGTTTACAAAACTATCTTAGATTACGAGATGATCTGAACTGACAGCTAAACTATTTAAAAAAGAAAAAGAAAGAAAGAAAAAATCCCTACTATGCTTGAGACAGTTTCTGCTGAACCTGCAGTCTCATAATATTTGTTTAGTCATTGTTGTTATGTGCCATGGAGTCAGTTCCCACTCATAGCGACCCCTGCGTAGGGTTTCCGAGGAGCGGCTGGTAAGTCTGATTGATTGTTATTCCTAGTTGCCATGGAATCTATTTTGACTCATGGCCAGCAGAACAGCTCCATGAAGTTTTCAAGGCTGCGACCTTTCAGAAGCAGATTGCCAAATCTTTCTTCTAAGTTGCCTCTGGGTGTCTTCGAACAGCCAACCGTTTGGCCAGTAGTCAAGTGTTTAACCATTTGCGCCACCCAGGAACACCTGAATGTGTTTTAATGTCTGGTTATCCATTCAACTTCTGTAAAAATGAATTCACAGATACAAGACAGAAGTGCCAAACTGTGAAAGAACCAAGGTAGGCACAAATCTTGATAACCTTTCTAGTCTAGTTTGGCAGTTGAGCTATTGCTAGAAAAGATACAGAAGGTAAATATGTCATTCATCTGAGCTAGATACTATTTCTGTGCTTCACTGGAGGTCAAGGATATACACAGGCTTGACCATTCTGGAGGACAAATCTACCCCAAATCTGACACAGAAATATCCACTACGGCTCAGGCTCTGTGATTTAAGCCCTGAAATGTACATTCAATTCACAAAACACACACAATGGGAGCTGAAATCTTAGCTGGGGCTTTAATTCTAATGCTGATAAATAAATTATCCAGAGAAACACTGCATTTCTTAAAAGAGTTGATTTCCACAATATCAAACAGCATATGTGAGTTCCAAAAATATTTAGCAGTTCCTGAGTTGGCTTTTTTTAATGTTGTTGTTAAGTTGAATTCAACTATGGAGGTAAAACTTGCAACAATTAATAACTAGCTATTAAGGATATCAGTTTTCTGTTCCCTTCCATTTAATTTTGTGTCTGGTAGTGAGACAAAAGTCAGAAAAATCAGTTGCTCAAATGCAAACCCCAAATTTGTCTCTGCTACCTTCAGGCTATCCCTTGATTTGCATTTACCCTCTGTAGAGATTTTCTTTAGGCAAGAAGAGTGAAGATCTATCGTTTTTGACATTCTGATCAATAAGCAATCCATTACAACTGGTAAAATCCATTACTACTGGCATAGGTGGCAAAGCTTTTGCCAACTCACACAAAGTCCATTACTATAGGATACATGAGATGAAGTCGGAGAACTGCCAGAAGAGGGTTCAGTTGGTTTAAAACCAAGTTTCTTCCTCGTCCTGCTTTTGGCCCACTTAACAATAAAGGGCTACATAAGTGGGGGGTCACCTCATTTTTATCCAATGTCAACAATAGCTTTCCAGTGGCCTAAATCACTAGCATTAAATCTTCCCAATCATTTTAGTGTACCAGAAAGGTTGCTACCATGTTCTTAAACCCTTACTGAATATGTTACAGAACTTGGGTGTAATGACTAGCACTTAAAAACTGCTAATTATTTTTGCCTTTAGAACAAAATGATATCCATATGTGACTAAAAATACAGGCAGACACAAAGGCAACCAAGCTTTGTGCATATAGGGCATGTTTATAGCATGAGTATACAGAACATAGGAGAAGAATCAATAGGCTCAGCTTTATCCTTGTGATTTCTGGGAGGCATTTCCTTGGGTTTCCTGAGATGATGATAGTATCACCAGGCATACCAGAGCCTTGACTTCTTGGTCCTCTTAGCTCCATAACCCTGGAGTTGGACATCACTCCTCCCTTCCTCCCCAGAACACCTAGCTTGACCACATCTACTAACATCACACCCCTGCAAGTCTATGTAAGGAACTGTGTCCATTCCATTGCAAGGGAATGCTAAGCAGGCCACATCTGGACAGGAAGGGGGAGGGAGGCCACAGGACTAGGCTATGGCCTCTGATGGCCACACCCCACCTTTCGGCTCACCAACGATGACGGGACCTGGGGCAGACCCAAACTGTGTCAAGTCTGCATTCCTGGGCCCTGAAAACTCTTGGACAATGTTATACCTTTTCTTCACTGCTGATGTTTCGGGTGGAAGTTCTCCAGGTGATAGAGGGGATGGGGTCTCCCGAGGCTTCACATGTTAGCGTAACCTGTTCTTCCAGTTCCATGGCAGTCTGGTTCTCTACATAAGTGATTTTGGGTTTTGCTGAAAAGATAAAACATTTCTGTGAGTTTTTCTGATTTTTCTCCCTTTCTGGATTTCAGTTACGACACACAGCCAACTCAACAGAGTCTAATTACTAAGTAAATCACACTAGTTACCCCAGAGTCAACTCGGTCTCATGAAGCTCCCATGTATGCCAGAGTAGGACTGTGCTTCATAGGGTTTTCAATGGTTGGCTTTTTGGAAGCAGATCTCTACCTTTTTCTTCCAAAGGTCCTCTAGGTGGGCTTTCAAACACGCTCCAACAGCCAAGTAGGTGAATATTTCCCACCACCTGGTGACTACATTTACAAAGCACAAGACCCTAGTTTAGGTGTTGACAGAGATACAAAGCTGAACTTCAGGCAGCTCACAAAGAAGTAGGCATATGACAACACAGAAATGAGTCCAATAAAACCCATCTCCTACATTCCTCTGACATTCAGCAGGGGAAGAATGCTTTCCTGGCTGGAGCCTTCCGGAGGAGACAGAGCTGGGATTCAGCAATGAGGTGTTTGGTAGATCTTTAGGGGTGGAGATGGAGCTATCCCAAGTGCTGAAAACAGCTTGAGTGAAATCCAAGAATCAAGAACCTTTTTAAGGGAAGGTTGTGGAAGAAAAACTGGCATTGAGCTGAGTGCTCAGTCATCAAAGCAGACGGAGAAGATGTCGGACCTGGCATGGAGAGTTTTGGTCACCTGGTTAAAGTGCTGGGTTGAATTTTATCTAATGGCCAAAAGGAGGTCTGGTAGGGCTGTGGGTTAAGCATTGTGATGCTAAATGCAAGGTCAGTGGTTCACACCCACTAGCCGCTCCATAAGAGAAAGATGAGGCTCTCTACTTCAGTTAAGATTTAGTCTTGGGACTCAGGGAGGGAGAGGGGCTGTGTGCTGATGGCTGGGGTGCAGGATTGTGGGTGTGCCCTTTAGTTCTTTAATTGGCTGTATATTCCTGAGTGCTTCTGTGTACATCCACACAACCCGGCTCCCCTTCCCCCAACACACACACACAAGCAGAGATAATGGAAGCAAATGCTGTTGAATGATGATGCATGGAAGGGATTGTAATCATTGCAATGAAACAAAATACGATAGGATGAATGCAAAGCTGATGTTCTCCCATGTAAACTATCACCCAATTCACAATGAAAACTTAAAAAAGATTTAGTCTTGGAAACCCTGAGAAACAGGTCTACTCTGTCTTATACAAGTTTGTTAGGAGTCTAGAGTTGACTTGATGGCAGCGGATTTGGGTTATGTTTTGGTTTTGGATAGAGGCTCCCTGACAGTTTTTGATAGCAGAATGTGTTCAATGGAATTTCAAGAAGGTTAATCTAGGAAAAAATCTGAATGATTAGAATGGCAAAAGTCTTGAGGTGAGAAAGTTGATTTGGAAGCTCTGGCCATGGCCCAGATGTGATGTAATTCTGTCCTGAACTAGGTCATTTCAGGGTAGAGCAGAAGAAAGGGACATCTTTAAGAGAGATGCTGACGGAAGGTTTCACAGGAAGTGGCAAAGGAACAGAGGGCAAGTCAAGATGGGAAGAGTCAAAAGAATGAGAAGGAGTCCAAATGACACTAAGGTTCTTAATGACTAGGAGAATGGTGTCAGCAGGAAGTCAAGTAACGAAATCAGACAAGTTACTGGTTGGGGCTGTCGGGTGGGGTTGGGGGTAGGCAGGAGACAAGTTGAGATGAGTTCATTTTCCAAATGTTTTGGGTAATGTAAGAAAACACATGCATTCAAAAGCTGAGTTAAATGCTAAAACATTAGAGAAAATTGAATTTTCCCAATTTAAAACAATTATACTCTGAAATGGCTGAACCTTCCATAGAAGGAAAAAAGATGGCACTGCACAAACGTAACTTATTTGACTAAAAGAGAGAAAGGCTGGATTCGATAAACAAACAAACAAACAAACATTAGAATTATACAGAGTTTCCAAAAGAACGTATTTCTGTTATATTTGAATTCACACAGTAAACCCAAGTAGGATAATTAGCTATTGCCTGTATACATCTTCCACGTTGAGAGCCTAAACTTTGTTTTAGTAAACAGAACATAATGATAACACTATACATTTATTTTTTTTGGTAGCAAATATCTGCTTCTACATAATAGCACTTAGACAATTCAAATATTCTCTTAAAGCGGATCTGTCCTAAAAGCAGGTTGCTCTCAAGTTGACTCTGATTTATAGTAATCCATGTATGTAAGAGGAGAACTGTGCTCCATAGGGGTTTCGATCGCTCATTTTTCATAAAAACATTGCCAAGGCCTCTCTTCCAAGGTGCCACAGGAGAGAAGGAGACACTCCAACCTCTAACATTTTGGCTAGCAAATGAACATATTAACCGTATGCACTAACTAGGGGCTCTGAATCTGGTTGTTAGGTGCCATGGAGTCCGTACCAACTCATAGCAACAACAGAACTTAACACTGCCCAGTCCTATACTGTCCTCACAATCTTTCCTGGGTATGAGTCCATTGATACAGCCACTGTGTCAATCCATCCAATTGAGGATCTTCCTCTTGTTCTCTACTCTCTACTTCACTAAGCATGATGTCCTCCTCCAGGGACTGGTTCCTACTGATAACATGTACAACTTATGGGAGATAAAAGTCTCACCATCCTTGTGCTTACTTCTAAGGAGTATTCTGGCTGTACTTCTTTCAACACAGATTTGTTATCCTTCTGGCAGTCCATGGTACAATCACTGTTTTTCACCAACATTATAATTCAAATGTATCAGTTCCTCTGCGGTCTTGTGTATTTGTTGTTCAACTTTAACACACATATGAGGCAACTGAAAATATTATGACTTGGGTCAGGCACAGCTTAGTCCTCAAAGAGACATCTTTGTTTTTTAACACTAGTGAGGACTTTTGTAGCAGATTTGCTCAAAGCAATACTTGCTTGATTTCTTGACTGCTACTTCCATGAGCATTGATTGTGGATCCTAGTAAAACAAAAGCCTTGATAACTTCAATTTTCTCCACTTATTATGATCTTATTGGTCTGGATTGAAGATTTTTATATTCTTTATGTTGAGGATGAAAGCTGTAGTCTTTGATCTTTATCAATAAGTATTTAAAGTTCTCTTAGCTTCCAGCAAACAAGGTTGTAACATCTGTATGTTGTTGTTGAGTGTTGTCAAGTTGGTTCTGACCCATAGCAACCCTGTATGAGGTTTCCAAGCAGTGGCTGGTGAGCTTGAACTGCCGACCTTGAGGTTCAAACCTACTTTGCAGTCCAGCGCATTAACACACAGCGCCACACCAGGACTACATATTGAAGGTTAATGGATTTTCCTCATATCCTGAAGCCACATTTCTCTTCATATAATCTAGTTTCCTTGATTATTTGTTCAGCATACAGACTGAATAAGTATGGTGACAGAATATAACCTTGACACACACCTTTCCTGATTTTAAACCACGTAGTACCTGTTGGTTCTGTTCAAACAACTGTTTCGTGTATGAGCACAATTTAGTTTTCTGGAGTTCTTATTCTTTGCGATCTTATCCATAATTTGTTATTATCCACACAGTCAAATGCCTTTTCAGAGTCAAGAAAATAGAAGTAAACATCTTTCTGGTATTCTCTGCATTCAGTAAATATCTAGCTGACATCGGCAATGATATCCTTCACTCCATGTTCTTCCCAGTTCAGCTTGAATTTTCCACTTCCCTGCCAATGTATTGCTGAAAACATTTTTTAATTATCTTAAGGAAAAAATTTCCGTGTGTGCAATATTAATGATACTGTTTGATGATTTCCACATTCAGGTGGATCACCTTTCTTTATTAATGATACTGTTTGATGATTTCCACATTCAGGTGGATCACCTTTCTTTGGAATGGGCACAAATATGGATTTGTTGGCCAGGTAGCTGTCTTCCACATTTCTTGGCACATCCTGCTTAGAAAATCTTGTTTTGATGGCTAACAGACAAGCATCAAATAACACATTGCATTGGGCAAATATTCTTCAAAAGTGTTTATAAATAATTAATATTGAAATATTCTTTAGAATGTTAAAAAGCAAAGATGTTACCTAGAAGACTAAGGTTCACCTGAGAAGCTATGGTATTTTCATTCACCTCAGATGTATGCTAAAGCTGTACAATGAATAAGGCAGATCCAAGAAGAACTGATCCTGTTGACTTACAGTATTGTAATTCAATACTATGGATTTCCAGAGGAGCGAACAAATCTGTTTTAGAAGTACATCCAGAATACTCCTTAGATGAGAGGATGGAAAGACGTTGCCTCATGTACTCTGGACATGGTTATCGCAAGGGGCCAGTCCCTAGAGGAGGACATCATGTTTGGTGAAGTAGAAGGTCAATGAGAAAGAGGAAGACCTTTAGTGAGATGGAATGACACAGTGGCTGCAACAATGGGCACAAAGCAGCAGTTAAGGAAGGTACAGGACTGGGTAGCCTTTTGTTCTGTGAAGACACAGGGTTGCTATTGTTTGTAATGAATTTGATGGCACGTAACAAGTACACGGAGGCATCTGATCAGGTCAACCTGACCACAAATGCAAATCTTTAGGGTCCACATGAGTGAGGTTTCCCTATAGGAAGACACTGTAGTAGTTTCAATAAATATGGCCTCCAAGGAGATTACAGCACTTATTGGATAGTGTTAGTGTGAAGTGTGAGTCCTGGTGTGGCGTTGTAGGATAAGCACTGGAATGTTAACCTCAGGGTTGGCAGTTCAAACCCACCAACTGCTCCTCGGAAACCCTATACAAGGTCACCATGAATAGAAACCAACTCAGCAGCACTTGCCCTCCAACCCATGTGAAGAGCTGTTGCACAGAAAGTTCTGGAGAGGTAAAACAAAATTGTAGTTCTTTCTTGTTAGAATCCCAGATTGAAAAGTTAAAACATAACATTCAGCCAAGAAACTGAATTCAATAAACTGAACAGTTGTGTTGTGGTTGCAGACAAATCATAGAAAGGTTGAATTTCTGGCATTTTGAAACCTTGAAG